GGGGACTGCTCTCAGTGAGTACTATCATATGTCTTATTCAGGTAGGTTGCATTAACCTATCCTTGTGGTAGATTCCCATCAGCATATTTGCCCATATGGCCATATACTTTATAGTCATGCTCATTGTTGGCTGCATTTAATCAGCTTCGTAGTTGGTTTCCATTACTGAGCACATGCTGCTTTTAGCAGCAGTTCAGAGATAGGCAGTGTATTAAATGTGGCTTCCTTGTATGCAGATATAAATTGAGGGGGGTTTTCCCCGTGTTGATTGGAGGAAAAACCCTTGTCTTATATTCAAGTAAATATGGTAATACACCTTGTTGAATATGCTTGCAGTTTTCTTCCCTGTGTTAGGAATGCCATGGATTAAAAACATTAGCGCTAACACATCTAATAGAATTATACACTTATGGGCCTTAAAGTTTGAATAGTCAGGTTCTCAATTCCTGTGTCTCTGTACAATTATTTTAAGTTAGAAGATTTTAATTTGAAAGTTGAAGACCACCCTAAGAAGCAGTTTGACTGGTAATGAAAAAACTTTGCATGTGTAAAACTGAATTGAGGGGCTGTTTAAGATGCTCCTGTTCTTAAATTATGTCTAAAAGCATTTTAAAAAAATGATGCAACAGAGCTAAGTGTAGAAAAATAGATGGAGCGTGCCATTCTTATTACACCAAAATAAAAATTTTGTATGTTTGTATAATTTTTCCAGCGGCCTATCTAAAATGTTTGTATGCACTTTGTGAAGTATTGTATTGTCTTTTAATTTGGCTTAGCCTTGCAGTATAACAAATAAGTACAGGTGGGCTCCTAGACAGAATTCAGGTGGGTCACCGGAGAGATCAAATTTCAACTGTTATTTGAAAGCTGAGTCAGTCTCCAGTATTGAACAAGTCCTCTTGGGAATCTCCAAATTAAGAAGTTGCCTTGACTGAAATTTTATACCACTCCTGTTACACAAAGAAAAATATGATACTTTAAAGTACATTTTATTATGAACTATTCCAGATGCAAAAATCTCTATAGCTGATTGTGTGGAATCCTTTTAATTAAAGTTTTCAAGTTTAAGAATACTATTGCTTGAAAAATTGCTTTTTCATTTAATTATTGTTAAAATACTTTGATTTAGTTGGCAGTAATCAGGAAAACTATAGATGTAAACTTTGCTGTGTTTTACATCTATACATGTATAATGCAGATGTTTCTTTAATTGATCAGTCTTTCAACTTAAATAAAATCCATTGCATGTCTTTAGAGTATATAATCTGTGGAATAATTTATTATAATATAATATTTTTAATATAAGATATCCTTGAACTTTAAGTACACACTCATTAAACTATAACAAAAAGTGCATTGAAATATATAAACATAGTAAATTAGGGTTGGAAGGGACCTCAGGCAGTCATCTAGTCCAACCCCCTGCTCAAATCAGGACCTTCCCCAACTAGATCATCCCAGCCAAAGTGCGAAAGTTTTTCCTAATATCTAACTTTAACTTCCCTTTCTACAACTTGAGACCGTTGTTCCTTGTTCTGTCAACTGCCACCACTGTTATCAGTCCATCTCCATCCTCTTCCGAACCTGCCTTCAGGTAGTTGAAGGCTGCTATTAAATCCTCTGTCTTATCTTCTAAGTAACCCCAGGTTCCTCAGCCTCTCATGTCATTTACCCCAGCCCCCAAACCTTTTTATTGCCCTCTGCTGGATTCTTTCCAATTTGTCAATGTCCATTCTGTAGTGAGGGGCTCAAAACTGGACACAGTACTCCAGATGTGGCCTCACCAGTGCTGAATAGAGGGGAATAATCACTTCCCTTGACCTGCTGGCAACACACCTACCAATGCAGCCCAGTATCCTGTTAGCCTTCTTGGCAACAAGGGCACACCGTTGACTCATATTCATTTTACTGTCCACTGTAATCCCCAGGTCCTTTTCTGCAGAACTGCTGCCTAGCCAGTCAGCCCCCAACCTGTAGCAGTGCATGGGATTGTTCTGTCTAAGGTGCAGTACTTTGCACTTGTCCTTGTTGAACCTCATGAGATTTCTTTTGGCCAATTCCTCCAATTTCTCTAAGTCACTCTGAATTCTAGCCCTACCCTTCAGCATATCTACTACTCCCCCCAGCTTGGTATCATCTGCAAACTGGTTGAGGGTGCACTCTATGCTATCTTCCAGGTCA